AGAAGTGTTCGCGAACAAACGCGCGGAAATTCTCAGGGCAGCAACGAAAATAAATTACAATCCCAGGGAGTTTCTCAGAAGTACTACGAGTCATCAACATACTATCCTCGTCGGTGGATGAAACATTCGTTATGAATTTTGTTGATTCACGTAAGTGATGATTCATAAAAGGGGTTGATGATATTCTATCAGAAATTATTCAGAATACCTCTAACGCTGAACTATAGTGAGCAAGACATAAAAGGCAATGAAAAGCTCCAAAAACTTAATTTATTAAAGAGATCAACACTTCGGCGCAGGAATTTACCAGCACCAGCACCCTTTTACAATTGCTTCATGCGTCTACAACTGTCTTCAATAGTAACGTAACAGCTGTTGAACATTTTCATTGGAGACTTCCATTTCCGGAAAAGAATTGATAACCCACGAATTAATCGAAAAACCATTGACACCATGGAACAAAAATACACTTAAAAAATGCAGAAATTGTTTGAGTATTTCCTGAAATTTTTCATATTTCCCTTAATCCCTTAAAGACAACCGAGAAAGTCCTTCAGTAAGCATAAAAAGCCTCTTTACGCACACAATTTGTAACCGGCTCTGATCAACACGACAAATCGTTCCATGTGCACTTGCACAGGATGGATTGAAAAGCCGTGTTTAATAAATCATGCATCATAAAAGCGCAAAAATCGGGTAGATAAGTTTAATCTAACGAAAACAAAGTTTCATAAGCTATTCGCAGCACTTCTGAGAAACCCCTGGCACGTTTCAAACAATGAACCATTTTCCTGCCCACGTCGACGGAATGTTGGTATCCAGAAATCAATCCAAGTTTCACGTGAACGTAAAAAATATGCAGCATTGTATATAGAAACTAAAAAAAAAAGCTCACCTCAGTTGTTTCCTTCTTGCAAAAGTCCGTGCCGGCAAAGACATTCGGACCGGGGTTCCCTTTGCCCAAAGGACATTGATTGATGTCTATACGATCGAAATCCATTTCCATCACTGACACTGCAGTGAACGTGGGGTACTCGATGTGCCGAAATGACGTATGCCTTGGATAAATATCGGCAATGGGTACAGACGCTCCGAAAATCCACTTGTTCGATCGCCCACAATCAAAATACGGACGCACCCATTTTACCGGACCCGGGGTTTCATCAGGACCTGAGGAAAAAAACAAATACATAAAAGACATCTCATCGCAACGATAGAAATTTCCGCAATTCCATAGAAAGATAATTCAGATCATCTTGTTCCGATCATTATCAAAAATTTTTTTGAAGAAAAAAAGAAATTATCTTCATAATTGTAAATTACTGTATTGGTGTTCACAATTAAAACATGGCAATATCCCTCACTAGAAAAAGCCCCTTGTCCCAATGAAAGTACACAGTAGGCACTGCAATACTGTACGTCTTTTCAAAAATAACGCAGTCCTACACCCTGAAAAAATTTTGGAATACCGTAAAATTTGACGCATTATTCACGGAATTTTCGGGTACAGTATTTTCCTCCTGGCAGTTTTATGCAGATTCGTAGTTCAAAAAGTAAATGGGCCTCCAGGTACCTTTCACTACCAGAGTAACCATAATAAACGCACCGCCTAAGCTTGTTATATGCAACAAAAGCACAGAACAGCTAAAAACTACTATAGTCCTTCGGTAAAGGCCATGGAGCAAAAATACAAACGGGTTTATAACCAAGATCGTCACCATGAAAAGAAATTCATCCGCTCACCCCTCATTGATTCGATATTCTTCGGTGCTGTAGTTCAAGCTTCGTCTTTCTGGGGGAAACGCACCGAGGTCCATGGCAACTATCGTGTTTAAGGTAGACACTCTTTCCAAATGAATCGGATCGTTGTAATCATCCGCTCTAAAGGAAACAGAAGAACCAGACACACATCAAGATCCGAACATCGAAGAATGAAATCCTTCTCCCTGTGATAATACACCAGAACGAAATACGAGCACGTTGACCGACGCTAGTAAAACATGTTGCATATAAAAGATAGAGTATAAAAGAAGAAACTTTCCAACTTCGCTGATTTGATCTTTCTCGAAGAGGTTTAACATAATAAAATTTATAACCCGAACTACGCGGATATAATCTAAAAATTAAATAATTCTTGGTATCAGACATGATTCCCCAAAGTCAAGTCCCGATCTCAACGTTTTTATGCATCGAAAATTTAAATCTGTCGTCATGAAATGTTAAACCAGAACTTTTACTGTTGATCGCGATAATTTTTCATCAATACATTTCTGTACCGGATTTTTGGGAAAATAATCAGGAGACATGCCTTAAAGATTTGTCAACAATTCTTTCCAGGAAATGTTCACAAATTCAATCCCTAACGATAAATTCGTTGACCATAAAATCCACCACTTTGAAAAAAAAATTGAGAATCTATATTTAATTTTAAACATGAAAAATGCGAGCTACAGCAAAATAAGCAGTCATCGATCTGTTGGCACAGAAAAATGGGAGTTTCAGACTGAATTCAGCTTCTGGACATTTACCAAATTTTGTAATTTTGGCATAGTACTTCAAAATTTGATCCCAGTTCAGCATACCGAACATGCTCTGGATCCCGATAAAAGAGCTTAGGTAGCGCGTTTAATTTTTGGGAAATACCCTTGTCACACAAAAACGAAACCCAATTAGCGCATCAATTGATGCGCAAGATTTGTTAGCTTACCTGAAAGCTCTGGGTGCGAACAAGGGCATAGTCTTATTGAAAAAGCCCCGGTAGCTCGGCGAATACGACGAGTTTGGAGCAAAGTAAGTCGCACTAGCGTTCAACTTGGGACTGGAAGTCACGTCCGAAATCACAGACAAGTAGTGATACATGACCCCAGGCTCGTCCGAGTCCCACGCCTTCTGCAGAATGTAGCTGAAGTAGAATCCACGACTCAGAGCCAAGTTGTGCAAATACAACATCGCTGTTCGGTTCGGAAACGTGGGGTTGATATTTATGTCTTTGACGTCCGGCTTGTGAGACACACTCTCGTCAGGCAAGAACAGTTCAGTCAGGTGCAGAAAATCGCAATTCTCGTGGCTCACGGCATCCACTCGGCTCTGAATGTCATCGAACGCAAGCGCGCAAACGGTTACTATGACGCGTTTGCGGCAGCGTTGTTTGTGTTTGTTGCAGCGGTCTTTGGGATCGCCAGGGTACTGCACATCCGTTTTTATTTTGAGCTGAGACGTTGCCTTTTCTTGGTCATCATTGATCATAAAAATAAAGCATCTTCAAAATGTTCACGCAAGATTCAGATCATCAAATGGTAATGCAGCGTTGTCGACACGAGAAAAGGATTCCTCAAGATGAAAATTCGACGATATCAACGCTCGGAAAGCTAAAAGCTTCAACGCGGGGGGAAAAGAGGTGATGTTGCAGAGGGAAACAATGCAACCTTAGAACGACGAACAAGTTAGAAATACCTGTACCGTATTCACAAAATGTAACCTGACACCAAGTTTTCTCAATTTTTCCGTCAAGTAACAACACAATAAATTTCCAGGCCAACGTAAAACAGTATTGCACATGCCTGAACACATGATCGATACATTGCTGTACTCAAAAGTTTTATACAGTGAACGAATTTTGAAACAGTATCGCTTCAAAGTTCGAATACGATTGGAAGAACCACAGAAACGGCTCAGTTTCATTTTATTCAAGGTCATTTTGAGCTGTTAAGCAGAAGAGTTGTCAGTATGCGTCCAACGAAAGCTATTTTCAGCAAAATAAACAAAAAACCGATGGTTTCTCACATGTAAAATTTTGACTTGTTTTCGCCTTCATCTCGCATCACAGTCTGAAATTATCCCAAGCAGCAAAACGACGTTAAATGAGTTGAGGAGATACTGTACTATTCACAAATAACCATTCTCAAGACCAACTCCGGCTTTGTGTGCCCTAAAATGTGAAAAAGCGTCGGATATTCTTGTAAATACGGTATTCAGGAAAACGCGTTCATCGTCAGTCAGAAACACACAGACGTAAACCTATGGCACCAAACATAACGTGAAACGTTTCACTTTCGAATGAGTCAATCAAAACTAAATCTGTAATATTTCCGTAGAAAGAGGGCAACGAAAAAAGAAACAGGGACGCGTCGCGCCTCCGCAATTAAGTTATCACCAGTTCACGCATTTCTTCAACATTATCGTAAAATCGTGAAAAAATTTTGCACCGCAAAAAAAAACGCGAATTCACGACTGCATTCCACCGAATCAACTTGCTTCATGAAAGCCAATGAAACTTCATCACGGAACACCCATCTTTGACTTGTCGGCTTCGCGTTCAACACCTTTCGTCGCTTCCTCACCACCTTTTCGTCTACCACGCCTGTGAAGATGCCCAACGCAGCTTAGCCCAAGTTAAAGAAAGAGTTTTAGCTTCAGGTATAACTGTCTGACTAGTGCCTCTAGCCCATAGTGTAGTAGAGGTGCGAACTTTAAGGCCAACAGATCCCCCGCGGCAATCGGGCCCTTCTGTATAATCTCCTGAGTTTTTTCAACAGCCGCTGAGAGAGTTTCACCAGTGAACGCTCCAACCACCCTCACCGGATTTTTCCAGTTTTCTTCGTTGGCACCGTTACCGACGGAGTTTCGGTCATCGACTTCTTCGACAGATTCAGCGTCATCTAAGATTGACAAAACAATCTTCCCGCGGTTGCTGCCCTCTTTCACATTCGCATAAGCCTCGGGCAGTTGGCTAAAGGGATACACTTGGTCCAGAATTGGCTTGATCTGGGAATTAACAAAGGCCGAAGGTTAGACGAAAATGAGTCGCAATGCTAAGCTTTAAATTGCACCTACAAATGTAATCTGGAAAAATTGAAAAGAAAAATCCCTCGATTGAAGGGTTCAAAAATACTGACCTGACCACGATTGAGAAGCAAGTTCAACTCGGTGAGGGCCTTCGGGTGTGGAACGAAGAAAGCCCATCGAACACTACGGCCTCCATCGAATAGAGATCTGATATTCGAATCTGCGAATAAGGTACCTGACCGAAGCGCTCCTCTGATAATCCCTCGTGTATCAGTTTCTGACAAAACGGGTGGGGTGAGTGTGACATAGCGACCGAATTTCCACTTCTTCACTAGTTTGCTTAGCTCTATATGCCCTGCCGAACTTCCGCTTGTAGCGCAGTCCAAAACCAAATCGAATCTAAAAAAAAAAAAAAAAGGGAAATGTTACACTCTGAAGATGTATTCATTCGAAATCGACGCTAAAGTCCCCACGAAAAACAAATCCAGGATTAAAAAATTAAAATAAAAGCCTTAATCCAGATCATACAAGAAGTTCACATTCTCTGAATCCCCCGAGGATATTGGAAAATATTTTCGCATAACGAAAATACGAACTATACTCGAATATAAAGTTTTAAACTTCGTGATTTACGTTCAACGGATTTCAATCAGTTCGCGTAATTAACAATAGCATACTCTTGAGTCAATTCTTTGTCCTTCTCAAGCTTATCGATTAGGTATTTTCAAGACGCTCACAATCCGTTGCTGCTAGCAGAATCCATCCAACTGGGTTGAGTATAGTCGTACACCTCGTCAGCGCCAAGTCTTTCGACCAACTCCATGGCATCTGTCCGACAAACGGCGGCTACCTGAAGAAAAGATGATAAAAGGAAGTAGTAGCCTCACTAAATAAGCCATACCCTCAAATTCAAGAACTTCGCGTATTGACAAAATGTACAAATTCTGTTACACGTTCAAACCTTCTAAAAATCAGGAATGGCTTTACTCGTAAGAGATGCATTTACGATCATATAGGAAGACGATGAGAAAAAATTGACTATTTTTCATGCCTCAAAATAAGGAAAGGTTCCCACAATCCAACGCAAAAAACTTGCTTCACAAAAGGCCAACACTTTTGCATTGGATGGACCAAAATTTGGAACCGAAGCCTTGGTATCGTATGTTCAATAGAAATGCATTGCGATGATTAGCAGCAAACGTTTTCAGCGCAATTTTCTTTCAAATTTGAAAAAAATTAAAATTATCCTAAACGAATACTTTACAGTAATGTATTGAAATAATTTCCCAAGAAAGAATTTCCAGATTTCTTCCGCCGTGGTGGTCATACATCTCATCAGCGCATTGGAAATACTTGGACGTCTGTTGATTGGAGTTGGGATAATTGAAGCTCAACTGTGAACTGTTCAGATCATGCTAAAAACAAAGCTTCAGAGGCATGCAGTACCAAGAAATTATCCAGGAATGGTCTATCATAAATTGTTCATTCAAACGGGTGCACATCAGAGGTCCTCTCCGTAAACTGGCTTTCCACGCGCGAATCTTTACCGCGAACTTCAAGTTTCAAGCCCAAATAGACAGAAGTGTGCTTCAGTACGGACGGGAAATACGACTACAGTACAACGGAAAATTATCCCCAGTATCTCAATGTGTGCCTCACGAACCTCTGATCCCCAAGCCTTCAGCGTTTGCACAGCCAACGTTCCAATGCCACCCGAAGCACCAACCACTAACACTCGTTCCTCACTCGGCTTTCGGATCCAGTAATCGCCGAAAAGCCTCAAAGCCGAGTACATCGTCATAAATGCATACGGCAAGGCAGCGGCTTCAACGAAACTCAAATTCTTCGGCATGGTTTGCACGGTAATACTCGGCGCTACAACGTAGTTGGCATGAGATCCCTGACAATGTGGTGCAGGGCAACCGTACACTCGGTCCCCGGGTTTGAAACCTCTCGTGAGTTTGCCAGCATCCACGACGACCCCGGCAAAATCCCTACCAGGTATAATGGGGAACTCCACGAGGCTTGGTTGAAGCTTCGACGCTTTCCTCATAGAATTGAGAATCTGCGATCCATAGCCACCTTGAATGAAAGGATGGAAAAAGATCACAAATTTGGTACAACTTGAAATGAAAGAAAAATTCCCGCCCTTTTCAACAAAGAGCGTAAAATTACGAAGCACACAAAAATGTGGGAAATTTGAAACTCACTGATCATTCGTACATCGACAGGGTTCACGGATGCCGCATGAACTTCGATGAGAAGATCAGTCGGACTTGATAACACAGGTATGCGAGCATTTTGAGACAGTGTTAGAGCCTCGATTCCGGAATAATCGTGAATTTGCCATGCTCGCATTCGACCGGGTCTTGGCTCCTCTTCCGCTTTACTCGCAAATCCCCGGGATTTACACCAACACAGCGCACGCCTGGTTTCACACACACTCAACCACCTCATCGTTTCACGTCGTAAGCCTACGAAAAAAATATTTTGATAAAAAAACCTTTTCCCCGCAAATTCTTAAAATAAAGGCGATATAAATTCGCAGAGCATTGCTGCATATGCACGAGCCAATTCCTAGTAACAGATATTGACAAAGTAATTCATAAAAATAGTCTGGAAATATGGAACACAAATCATCACCATAAGAGTAAATCATAATATGCTCACACGTACGGCACTCTTTTCGCCCATCAAAATTGCACATTGCGTGATGAGTTTCTTCACGAATCCGGAGACTTCGATTTCAGCAAAAGAATAAATCCACAACCCCATGATGAACAAACGCAGCACAGTATGTAAGTCTTACGAACTGCCGATGGCATCCGCCAATTGCACAATGTTTTTCGCTTGTAATAACAGAGGGCGATCGATCATTTTGTCTTGATAGTTGAAGGCTCCCTACAAAGAAAATTGAAAACAGGATTTAAAGAAAGTGAAGAGGTTACTTGCCCTCTTCATCAAGTTGCATGCATATTGCTTTCTTCATACGGTCGAATGAGGAACAAAAACCGGTTTTCGATTTTCAAAACTGAAGAGGACATTTTTGAACCATTTCATGTACACATGTCAGCCTTATCGCATTTGAATGCAAGATGTCATCAATGCAGGATATACTTTTATCTCCCGGAATCAAAATTAGAAAGAAATACAGTGCGTGTCACATACGCGTGAATACTGAACATTTTAGTTCAATACCAAGACGCTAAATTAAAATACCAATACGAAAGGTGTCTAGGAGAAAATTCTAAATGATGCCAAAATACCTAGACAATGATAGACTCGTGGAAAGACAATACTTACAACTCCGCTGGATTGACTCTCTTCGAAGGCAGCTATCAGACCACGCGCGAACTTGATCTTCTCAGGAGACGGGGTAAAAGCCGCTTGCACGATGGGAACTTGATCTGGATGGATTACCTGCTTCCCCGTAAATCCCCACCTTGCACCTTGCTCAGCTTGTCGCTTCAAGCCTTCAGAGTCTTTGCAAGAAACCGACCATATAAACGTGAAAAATGTCTTCCAGGCAAAAATGTGAGCGACAGAGCTCTTGAAATCCATTTCATAATTTGTTTAATAGATTTTCAACAATGTTACATTACTCAGAATTAGCGCTCTTCTGTACGAGCTCAGATTGCAACAATAAGCGATTTCCAGACAGAAATGGTCTCGGAACTAACCTTTGTAATCGATATAAACAACGTCAATTGCCTGGAGTCCGAAAGACTTGGCAACGAGAAGAATGTGTTGTCTCGCATAAATAACTTCATCAGCTTCCTTTGAGCGATCGGCTCCAATATCCGCACACAAATCATCGGACCCGAAAACAAGTCCTTCAACGTTGAACGGCGAATTGTGCGACAATCTGACTGCTTCTTCTACCAGGTGCCTCAATCGAAGAACTCCATTCGCCGATTCGATGAACATCACGAGACCCAGCTTCGTCGGAATTTTCCTCGTGTCCAAACGAGTCCTCAGAGTATACGCGAACTTGACAAAAAATGAATAAAAATAAAATGAGTATCCAAGTTCGATTTTCAAACTTCGTTAAGATCACCGAACACTTCGCGGGCTAACGATAGCCACTCCTATGTGTTATCCACAACAAGATAATTTAAACGCCATATATCAATACCTAATGCGGAACCTGCATATCAATGTGACTCCCTACAAAATTACTGAAGAATTTGGGAAATTTTCTTCAACATACAATTTCTATTTCGATGAAGGCATTTACAATACCCGAATTTGTGGTGCATTTTTACAATACCCGAATTTGTGGTGCATTAAGGTTAACGACTACGCCGAAAATCTTGTCAGGTTTCGCTGATCTTCAGGTTCCTGCAGCCTCTTCTGAGATTTTCGAATTTTTTGACTACTTCATAGAAAAACGGCTCCCTATTCCGATTTACTTGCTCAAAAAATGTGGACTAATGCCAAATAAAATAAATTTACGCTCAAAACGCCAAGAGATATCCCTCTACCCACTGATGTCACAGAAAAAATTACAGGATGTTTTCATCGGGGAGTTCGGCATTATTCTTAAGATTTTTTTTTTAATGCGTTCCCAAATTTAGACATGAGTTAAAAGAGGACCCAGACAAGGCTTCTTGAAGGCCACGAGGAATCGGGGGAGATTTCATCCTTAAAGTGGAATTCTGAAGTCCAGGATGTTATTGATACACACTTATCAATGAAATGACACTCACGAAGCGCAGCTGTTCAACGTTGTCCACCTTCGGTAACATCAGCGTTTTTGGGAGATTCCGTAAAGAGCAAACCATGACCATGTCATCTTCGCAAAGCCCGCTTTGAACAGAATTCACTCTAACGCAGCATTCTGTGCGACCGAAGGGAATCTCCAAGTTTTCCAGTACGCCATGAATCGTCTTCCTCGCTTCGTCCTGGGAAAATTCGGAATATTAGCATGTACAGTAGTTGAACCTAGGGCATCTTAAGCTACAGAAAATCGAATTTCGGACAAATAGTAAGCATGAGTGAAGCACTGAGAGTCGATGCAATAATCAACGAATTTCAGAATCGGGCTATAAACGTTAAAAAAAAGATGTTTCCACAAACTCAACCTCACCTTCCGGGTAAGTGCAACTCCGTCTTCACAATCCAAAATCACGCAGTCGGCACCGGCAGAGGGGATTTTCTTGATCTTCCTCATGTCATGACCAGGTACATAGAGAATTGCACGCCGCGGCACGTATTTCTTCATTGTGGGATTACTATCAGAAAGCACGGAATGGACGGAAGACATAGATCGAGCTATGCACGCGCGATGGCATGAAACGGCCATCGAAAGCGTTCGCGACGCACGAAGCACGGTTGGACAGTGCATTTCACGTTTGCACACAACACAGCAGATGCACGTGATATCTGTGAAGCACAAGAACTTTATCGATGTAAAGTATAAGCTTTTCGAAATCTGGAAACAAAATATATGCATAAAATAATCCTTTATTACTTGAAGGGGGTTTGAATTGAAAACACGGATGAAGCGCGCGATCCATTAGCAGCACCAAGCTCGTCCAAATTTTTGAAGTGAAGACGGAAGCATTTAACATAATTAAAAACTAAAACAAAAAATACAAAGCAGGATGTTCCCCAGCAATCTTGAGATATTCTCCTTGATTGAATGTGTTCTATCACTTACACCTAATTATAGCGCTATTTTTACGCGCGCTGGAATCGGCTCACGTTCTACGCATTACGAATTTTCCCCGGCACGTAATTTCGGTCGATTACCGGCTCCTGGAGAAACATATGCAGGCAACGTTCATTCTGGGCCAAGGGATGCCCAGCAATCCTGCAAGGGAAAAAAACCCAATAAATATCTTCATTTTGAAAGTAAGGAGAAACCTTTATACGAACTTATTTATGAAAATTTCAAGACCCTGTTTCCGGTTCTCGATGAACTCCTCGTCAAAAATCCCTTCATCTCCTCGAAAGGGCAATTGTCGAGTCCACGCTTTTCCCGGAAGAGGAGGAACCACAATCTAAGAATGTACACGAAAATTAGATTTGAAATTCACAAAACAAGACCAATATCTTACCTTGGAATCACGCTCAAGCTCACTCCTTAGCCATTCGAAGTCGGAATATCTTCGTCGAACACTCGATTCTTTCAGCTTGAAGACCGGGAGGTTTGTCTGCGAAAAATATTATCATTCCACAGGAGGAAACGAAATTTCAGAAGTATTTACGCACCCTCATTCTGACTTCGTAATCTGTATAGCGTTTCGATAAATCGCCATGGGTGATCGGGTTGATAACGTCAATTTCGAGGAAATTTGCCGGCGACGCGTATGCATCATCAAGTGTCTGCTTACGAACAGACAATCGCTTCGTGGCATCACTGGGCTCCATATCTCCCTACGTCCTACGACTAGCCGAATAGAACGCACACGGATCGCGTTTCTGGAATGTTAGAACAAGTGGGGTAATTATAACATTCGACTTCGCTTGAAGTCCGAGTCATCAAGTTTTACTTCTTCTACGTGAAATTTTAAGAGTCCTAATTAGCCCCCTTAACTCTCCCAACGCTTATCTAAGTGCTGGTGCGTTTTTTTTGCCTTCACCATCCATGGTACACTCTTTCAACCGAAATCAAGTAAGCGGCTTGGATTCGCACGGTTACCACTGCTCCCTTTCGTACGCAACACCGCGTTAATGTAGAATAAACACTTGGTTGGGTGCTGGCCCACGGTGGTGTAGTTTCTCGCCGGAGCAGAACTCTTGGTCGGCCAAACTCTAGGCCACTGCACCCCCCATCCCCTCACTCCCTATTCTCATCACTCTCTCCTTCACGCACACTAGTGACGGACTTGAGGNAATTATCTTGTCTCGATAAAAAATTGTCATCAAGACCTATACAATACTTTTATTGCTGAACAATCTTGGTCATTCTAAACCCATGAAACCAAAGTGTTGGAACCTTTTGAAGCTAATTCCTTGTTTGAAGTATTACAATGCCCAAGTTCAATGAAACTGATGTCAAGCAGGCCTCAGAAGAGGCACTTGTCAAACCCACAATTGAATGCAACTTGTCAAATGCACTTATTGTCAAACCAAATTTAAGAAAATATGCCTGACATCTAAAAGACCCATGGAACATCCCATAATTTCATTTCCCAAATACATGGAGAAATAATTTTTTCTCACTTGTAGTCCATGCTACACCACTTCCTGCACAAGGGATTTATTCCCGAGTCTTGAAGTCACTCATGCGCGACCACAGGAGAGAGAGTGTTGGCTGCAGAGCGTGAGGGGATGCGGGGTGCAGTGGCAAAGAGTTTAGACGACCAAGAGTTCTGCTCCGGCGAGATGGGGCCTCACCCTGGCCCACGCTGCAGTGCAGCTGGAATTCGCAGACGTTGAGACGATTTCGGTTGAAGATCAGGACAGAAGATGTCACTCTTATACCCTTGAGCCAGCACGTCTCCATAAACTAGCGTACTGAACAATCTGGCCCACGCTGCAGTGCAGCTGGAATTCGCAGACGTTGAGACGATTTCGGTTGAAGATCAGGACAGAAGATGTCACTCTTATACCCTTGAGCCAGCACGTCTCCATAAACTAGCGTACTGAACAACAGACGAGATACTGTGCACTGCTTCTCGTACAAAGAATTACCATGCTGCTTGAGCGTATGGGATTAAGATAAGTTCTATGTACTGTAGTTTATACTAAATGCAGTATATATGCAGCACATTAAATATCGAACCACAATTTTAAAATACTGTTGTGCTTGATGATACTCCGCAGTACAGTGTACAGCATTTAGTACATACCAACCCATTTCCTCTAATTATGCACAATTCTGCTTGATCAATTACGAGCACACCGAAGTGTTCTTGTAATTGTATCGATGTATTGATGATCTGCCATGATATCCGCCCTGATCATGCGATCTCATCCTACACTGCTATATTCCTGAATATTGCATCTTAGTGAAGAACATCATTTTGCCTTTTCTTGTCAATTAAGCGAAGAATCCTGCTGGCGAAATATTCTTCAGGTTGATCAACGTAAATTAAATACTCACGAAGAATAAACAAGATAATAATGTACCACGAAAAAATTCTTCGTCGCGATAGGGAATGTTACGCCCCTCGTCATCGAAAATTCAAATACAGCAGTACAATACTGTAATTTAAAGCTAGCCTCGTCAAGAATTGTACAATTCATGTATGATAAACTATGTACGGTAAAGTACATCAAAAATTAAAGTAAGATAATATTTTCGCCAGCATCTGCAACAGTTTCTGTATGATCAAAAGGAAAAAAACTTATCGAATTCCTGCATAATTTATTGAAACCCATTTCCGACTCATGCTATTGCAACAATACTGCAGTGTATTTAAGAGTATAATAGACCAAGTTATGACAAAAATTCTGAGTTTATCCCAAAAAAAATTTTTATCCCCTTTTTGTGCGCTAAATTATATTGCAGCTTTGCTTTATTTTTTCTTTATGTCGGGTATGTGTAATGTATGGCAGATCCGGATAACTCAATACGATTTATTTTATGACTGCATATAAATTACGAGCGCTTAATTTTTTCGGATGCCCTTTTGAAAAACTAGGTGTATACCAAGTAAGGTAAATTCAATTATAACGCGCCATGACTTGAAATCAGCTTCGAAAATTGCCCACTCTTTGAAATCAATGCCTCACTGGTTTCAAACATCGCGCGTAGTCGTCAATAGTATTAAAGAACTTAATTTTAATCAGTAAGTCCCTCTTAGTCTAGCTTGGTTCGGTGAGCTTTAAATCCTTCTATCCACCTTTTACAGTGTTACATTCCGAATAATAATTAGCAATAATAAATTAGCCCGAATTAAACCGACAAGCTTATATACCAAACTCTCTGACGTTCAGTGTTATCATTTTATCGTTTGCAGCGGACGGAAATGGCTCTATCAATTTTTTTCAATCCGTAAAAAAGAAAGTACGTGATATTTCCGTCACATCAAAAAAAAAGAATCATGTTTTTTTGTGGAATCTTGCTGGCCGTGGTCTCCACACTGGAATTATCAGCAAGTCAGTCATTTTTAAAACATGGTTTCATTTTTTCATACCGTCTTATTTGTTTTGTTTCCGGTCAGCAGCCACATCATTGACTTCTCACCCTGGAAATAGGAGAGATACACCGGAAGCAACTTGGCTGGCAATCATCCGTCCAGTCCTTCATGTTTCCAGTCCAGAAAGTAAGAAATGATTTATTTGAAGTTCCCATAATTCTAATGGAGGAATTCTTCATATAAAAACTGTCACATCATACTTACCAGCTTTTATGCCGACCGAAAGTCCCCGGATCATTTGTGATTGTCATAACTTGAAAGGAATTCAGCGAGGAGTTCAAGAAGTTGCTCGGAAAATGTCAAAAGAAATTATTTCCGTCGACTGTGAAATGAACCAGACTGCGAACATTTTGAAAACTGTGAGTATATAAGCGATGTGATTATTGCATAAAATTTTAAGAAAAATACAGTACTGCAAATAAAGAGTCGTCAAGAAAGAATTCCGCAATGAATGCGTCAAAAACCAAATGGTCTCATTCGTGCGATTATTTATATATATATATATATATACACAGTATTATAGCGTGTGTCCGTGCTCATCCACGAATAAATGGCACATAGGTGTCGTGATGGTTACTAATAATTTGTATAAAAATCTTGAGATATTGTAAGAGTAGGAGAATTTTTTTTAATGAATACGCGGTTGTGAATGATTGACAGAATCAATCCTCACCAAATGTTCGGCGAGGATAATTGATCATGAAGTGATGGTGATGCAACTGCGTCCTCTTCAAAAATAATCATTTTACTGAATGACAAAATATTTTCAAATTTTCTTGCCTTTTTATTCTTGAGACTCGATGCAAAGCTTCACTTCTCAAATTCCTTTCTGGGTCGTGGGGCGGATATTTTTCGATAATTTCCCGGCTTTATTACCACCTAATATGATAACGGTTCAAAAAGTCCTTGGCCTTGATGAATCTTTTAGTAATCATGAATTTGTATTTTGAATAATCCGCATCAGATTCAAGTGGAAAATCCCGTTCAAGCAACAGATTTCATGTGGCTCATCAACACCCCGCAAATCTCAAGTGGCCTCACGAAAACCCTCCATCAGAATTTCAGTCTTCAGTTGGCTTATGTCTCACTGAAAACAAACCGGACATCCGTTGCTTGCGATCAGCAAAAATTCGTCCCNTGCATATAAATTACGAGCGCTTAATTTTTTCGGATGCCCTTTTGAAAAACTAGGTGTATACCAAGTAAGGTAAATTCAATTATAACGCGCCATGACTTGAAATCAGCTTCGAAAATTGCCCACTCTTTGAAATCAATGCCTCACTGGTTTCAAACATGCGCGCATCAGCAGTTATCATAATTTCTTGAATTAAAATTAGTCATTCAGGGAGAATCAGATCGAACCAAGCCACTCGAAATTTAGGAAGATAGGTGGAAAATGTCACAATGTAAGGCTTATTATTACAGCAATAATAAATTAGCCCGAATTAAACCGACAAGCTTATATACCAAACTCTCTGACGTTCAGCGTTATCATTTTATTGTTTGCAGCGGACGGAAATGGCTCTACTATTTTTTTTCAATCCGTAAAAAAGAAAGTACGTGATATTTCCGTCACACAAAAAAAAGAATCATGTTTTTTTGTGGAATCTTGCTGGCCGTGGTCTCCACACTGGAATTATCAGCAAGTCGGTCATTTTTAAAATATGGTTTCATTTTTCATACCGTCTTATTTGTTTTGTTTCTGGTCAGCAGCCACATCATTGACTTCTCACCCTGGAAATAGGAAAGATACACCGGAAGCAACTTGGTTGGCAATCATCCGTCCAGTCCTTCATGTTTCAAGTCCAGAAAGTAAGAAAGGATTTATTTGAAGTTCCTATAATTCTAATGGAGGAATTCTTCATATACAAACCGTCACATCATATTTCGCAGCTTTTATGCCGACCGAAAGTCCCCGGATCATTTGTGATTGTCATAACTTGAAAGAAATTCAGCGAGGAGTTCAAGAAGTTGCTCGGAAAATGTCAAAAGAAATTATTTCCGTCGACTGTGAAATGAACCAGACTGCAAACATTTTGAAAACTGTGAGTATACAAGCGATGTGATGTATTACATAAAATTTGAAGAAAAATACAGTACTGCAAATAAGGAGTCGTCGAGAAAGAATTCCTCAATGAATGCGTCAAAAACCAAATTGTCTCATTCGTGCGATTCACTATACACAGTATTATAGTGTGTGTCCGTGCTCATCCACGAATAAATGGCACATTATAGGTGGCGTGATCGTTACCAATAATTTGTATAAAAATCTTGAGATATTGTAAGAGTAGGAGAATTTTTCTTAATGAATACGCGGTTGTGAATGATTGACAGAA